GGAAGATCACAGTGGTGGGGAGGCACAGGTGGCGATGTCGCTAAGCGGGCTCGGTGTGGAGCGTGTCCAGGAGCGGCAGTGGCGCCACGGGCGGCAATGGGTGACCCGTGTCTGCGAGCACCGGGGTTGAACGTGCAGGCGGCGTCTCTGGCTCAGCGGCCGAAGCCGGTTGCCGTCTCGGACGATGTGTGGCACGACTCCCTCTCGGGGAGGCTGGTTATTGTATAGCGGGCTGTGCCACGGGATTTCAGTGTTATCCATTGAGAGGGCTGGGGTCGTCCCGCAGCGGCGGCCGATCGGCGGCGTGCACGCATAGAAATCGAGTCTGGCGGATTCAGGCGCGGCCGGCCTGACTGAACAGATGAGGCCAACGGCAGTGGGTCAGGGGCAATCGAAACTGCATTCTTGCAGGCGGGAGCTGGTGGCCCTGGCGTCTGACTGAGACGGGACACGGAGCGCTGACGGCTACAGGAACCGGAGGTTGTGTCTGTGCCCGAAGGCAAAGCCGGCGAGGTGTTATGGGGTACAGATACGACAGATTTATATGCCTGAGTTGTCGAGGGCGCGTTGGTTGTGTTCGGGGTACAGGGAGGTCCTCGTGTGGGTGACGTCGGTTGGTTGTCGCACGGGCCGCGAATGTACGCGCTGTGGAGCTTCGTTTTTGTCAAGTCTCATTCGGGGTCCGTGTTCGCGAAAATCGGAAAAATCAGCGTGGGTAACGGGTAGTCCACCCAAAGTGACGCTGTCGCGGCTGGGGTGCCGGACCCATACCAACGCCCGGTGTGTGGGTGCCGTTAGGTGAACGTCCGCAATCGCGTTCAAGGGAAAACCACGCGCGTCCTCTTCTGTGAGATGACTGCTATGACCGATGCGGTCTTGCTCCTTGGCGGGAAGAGGCAGTCGTGAGGGAAGTCGGTGTTGTCGTTGGAGGTACCTTTGCGGTACTCCAGCGTGTAGCTGTAGGACGCCAAGAATTCCAGCCAGCACTGCTGTCCGCGAGGGTTGGTCGTGTTCTCCGATCTTGGAAAGGCTTAGACCAAATATTCGGAACCAACATCTTCATTGTAAACGCGCTGCAAGAAAACTTTCCAAATCAACGCAATAATAGCCCCTTCTATCCAGAAATTTAGTGTGGGGGGTGTCTATCACGACATACCTTCGGACGCACGAAACACATACACCCATACACAACCAGCAGATCACATCAGCCACAACTCCGGCGCATAGGCGAGCACCTCTACGCGGTGCTTAGCTGCAGCACACTGAGAACAGGAACAACAACATACCAAGTAAGGACGCCAAGCGGAAAGGTTGCAAGCGCACATCGCAGGGGGGCATTTCTCTGCCACCTATTCCTTGAGCCTATATTAGGGGACGGTGTTCGACAAAAGAAAATTCACCTTGCACAGTTGCACAGCACCTTTCCATGGAACGACAGCAAACAAAAATGAACTCCAAATGGAAGACCGCCTACCGAAACTTTCTCGCCGCCCTTGTCCGACAGTGGGCGCTTGTCGAAATGGCGCAACCCAAGCCAACCCTCCCTCGTTTCGTCCGCCGCCTCTCTCTCGCTGACGGCTCCCTTGGTCCCCACCTAGACGACAACCCCCCCCCCCGCCCCCCACAGCATATACACAAGCACCTCTCGCCTCCGCCGGTCCCGTCCCAGCCCAAGCTAAAGCTCCTCGCTCCCCTGCCCACGACTCCAAATCTACAGTTTCCTTGAGGCACCACGTCCACGCAAAATTCCCCGCCCGACCGACCAAATAATTCCTTAGCCCCCCTCTGGTTCGGACCAAATTGTGTCCGGACGGTATCCACGATGCTCGTCCAGCAGTATCGTCATTGTCATGCGCGTGTCGACTTCGCCGGACCCCGTCCGCTTGTCCATGCCAGTCTTCTTGATATTAGTCGGTAACGTATCGTTGGATGTTCGCCTTAGGCATTAGATCACGGAAATTTGCAGGGGCAAGGTAACAGCACGGCAGTTGGGTTTCCTGTTAGGTGACGCCATGTATCCAACTCACAGCCCAGGGCCTCCCGCACGACAGGTGCATTGTCAACATTCGTTTCCGAGAAAATATTGTCGCAACAAAAAAATATATACTCACACGAGGCCCCAAGGCGAGGTTTACAAGTTGGGGGAAGGGGTGGGTGACGAGGGTTGGGGGGATGAAGGCGTGCCTCGTTGCTACTGTTTCTCTTCATATGCGTCTCTGGAAGCCCCCCTCATCCCACTTCATACCCTGTACCATACGTTACTCGGTACTGCACCGAATCCCGGAGGGAAGCCCTGTGGCATCTTTGTCGTGTTTTTCGAAAGGCGATTTCTGGAGGCACACGCCCGAACAGCCGATATCTGTTCAGGCAGCTATAGGTGGGTCTAGGGTGGTGGTGAGAGGTGTCGGAAGGGAAGGATTGCAGCCCTTGCAGACGATACTGAATTCTCAACCTCTTTGAGATTGTGACCCAGCCCGAAAGATAACCCAGGAGTCAAAGCAAACCGCACAGACCAGTTCCGGAGCATTGAGCACGAAAAACAAGTTCGGCTCTGCCCTGCTGTACCTCAGTCAACCTGTTTCACTGCTGTAGAACCAGTGCTAAAACGGCGTTGATGAAGAGGGGGGTTGTCTCAAGTTGGTTGTCTCCTTCAAAATCCTTCCGACAAAGTACGGTAGAGTTTGCTCATCCCTAGATTCTAGCTCCACGCAAGCTCCGCCCGTGCATCGTCGACTCAAAGGTGGGCCACAACAATATGTCGTACACCAGGAGCGTGTTTCGAATCTACAGTTCATCGCCGTAAACGAACGTTTCTATGCTGCTGGTGCTGTGACCACGCCAATACAGACCCAACAAGACTGACCCTTGTGCTGCTATATGCCCACAATTAAACGTGTTCGTTCACAACAAAGCTTTGCACCGGTTCGGTCAAGTGGTATCACATCAGTGCATAGGTAACGCACATATCTGCACAGCAGCAGTAGATTCGCCAGGCACGTGTGCAATGGTCCGTCGTTGGTGCCATAGGACACGAAGCTCAGACCCTCCGCAACGCCAATTAGCACGGTGACATCGAAGGACGAAGCTCTCAGCGATATCCGCCCCAAGTCGGCGAAAGCGAACGAATCTTCGACAGCGCGCCAACGCCTTTGTATGTTCCTGCACATGATGCGATGCAACAGCAGCCAGCGTGTTCGATGAGAAACAATAACCAATACCGATACAGGAGCGTAAAAGAACAAAGACACAAAACAACTGATGGACCAATGCTGATGCCAAGTGGTTCGAAGGTCGAGCCTCCGTAGAAAAGGCTGCCAATTGTAGCCAGTGTGACAACGGGAAGCGGATGTTCAAAAAGATACCCGCACGGATGTTGCATTGCTATGTACGGCACAACCGGCGCAGGTGTGTCAGTTCCCCACAGCAGCACACGGCAGTTTACAGCAGTAGTACAGGAAAAGAGCACAAAGTACAGCAGTAGAATAAAAGCAGAGGGCCGGGAAACCCAAGCGGAAACGGGTTGCTGGAGACAAACAGGGCATGTCCGTCTCCCTCCCTCCCTGCCCACTTGCCTGGTAGTCGTCCTTGTGCTCCAGGGTAGACTATAAAATTGGGCAGCTGCTCCATATCAGTTGTTGAACGCGTACTCGTTGATCGATACAGTACATCCATCCTCGAGAGTGTCGCCGCCTACAGATTTCCACAAGGAAGCACGGAAGTGCGTGGTCATCCCCTTTTAGGTGCCGCGGCTCGAAAACAGCCTGCTGCGTCTTGGGAACAAGACCATGAACGAGCACGACATCACCACCCCTGTGCTCAGCCCTGTGGTGTCGCGGTGGGATCGCTGCTACGTGCACCTCGTCTGGAGCATCTCCTCGCGATCGAGAAAAACCGCTGCAACAGGAGTCACACCACGTTTTTTGCTGTCCGCCATGACACAGACAGTATCCAAGTTACCTCTGCTGTTGCGTAGCCCTTGTGGTACGGCCTGTGGCGCCCTTGGCTGGGGATGTAGTACCGATGCTCCACAACTTTGGCAAGCTTCCAAATTTTGGGAGCTATTGGTTCCAAATTTTCGAGCCCAGGTTTGTTCCATTTTTTCGAAGAAATTTGGAGGAACGCCTCCGTACAAATTCCAAGTACTCGAAACTTTGGAACTTTGGAACAAAAATTTGGAACGATAAAAACAGCCCTTTCTTTAACAGCGCTATGTTTTGTCCTAAGAGTAGCAAGTGCGTGTTCGCGAGACAGCCGAGAAGGCGTTCGAAGCTCCACATCAAATGGCACCAGCTTCTAAATGGGTCCAGAGCAGTCCAGTTGTGTTCGGAATCGAGAGTGATACTGCTGATGAACACGATAGACAAATCGTGCCGTCATCCTGTTCTTGCTCTACATGTACAAGTCGAGCGGCGGCCGTCGTAACTACGTAGACATGTAGACTAGACTACCGTGGTAGTAGTAGGTGGCGCTATAGGAAAACATGTTCGTTGGCAATTTTGTCGGCAAAGCCGCCCGTCACGAAGCGTACCACATTACAATCCATCGCTGGTTGGTGGCCATGTTTGCGTGTTTGCTTGTCGTTAGTGGTCTCTCCACCAGGGTTGTGTCTACAAGGACAACCAATAAAACGTCTTAACCATCTCTTCACGTTTGTCAACCGGGTCAGCCGTGCTCATCCAGCAGCACTAGTCTTGGGGCCAATCAACAACCGGAAGGGCACTGATCAAACGGGTAGGACACTGTTAGGTTGCCCATCGCTCGGGGTGAGGCATTCGTGGTACCAGAGAGAGAGAGAGAGAGAGAGAGAGAAGACAGCCATCGTATACTGGGTGCTGTGTTGATGCAGCAGCTACGAACCAGCCTTTGTCTCTAGTTTGTGGGTGATTGCGATGTGTCCGTTGCGAATACGTGCAGGCTAAGTCCATGGTGGGTGTGGGCCTTCCCCCTTCAGACCGTTCGGGGTGCACCTGATACTCTATCCCCGGCCCCGGCCACGGCACATGCCCTATTTGCTCGTGCTGGCTGCGCGCAACTCCGCGGGCGCTGCTCGCAACGTATGTGATGTGCGGCCAGTCAGACTTCTTCGTCCTTCTTCCCTTTTCTATTTCCGAATTTCGGACTATTGGTGGTAAACAGCTTATTGTGCCTCCCGGAAGAGCCACAGTAACTCCCGTCACAAAAGGGTTGACGTACTTGATGCAGTACTAGACTATGCAAAGCGGCTCCAGTACACTGAGAATATATCACGTCGTCACATATACTCGAAAACAGAGCGCCGACTAGCGGACACGGTGTTTCCAATGCAAATGACATGGTACACGCACGGAACTGCAACAATTACGGAACGGATTACGGAATGTATGCACATGTATTACCTCAGGTTGGTTCATACAGTAGTGGATACTCAACTGTACATGACAAGTCAGGAAGGCAAGATTTCCCTGTGCCGAGGGATTTGTTGACTTGTTCACCCCGCGTCTGCTGCTGTTGTGTGTGTGTGCTGTGTGCTGTGTACTGTGTGGTGTGTGGTGTACGCGGTGAGTGCATGAACAGCACGCTCTAACCATGGCGCTTGTGTTTCGATTAGAGTCTTGTACGGCGAGATACTACTGCTGGTGGGGTGTTTGGCCCACCCCACACAGGTAGACAAATGGCTAGGGTCAAAATCCTCTAGAGGATAGGTGAAACGGCAATCCTCAGAGGATTGCCCAAAAAAGCGGAAGCTCTGATTTGGTAAAAAGGTTATCCCCCCAGAGGAAACCCTCACCCAAAGCCCTGGAGGATCACTGTTCGAAATCCTCTGGAGGATCGTTGGAAGAAATACTCCACGGGGAATACATTACAACTTCCTCCAGAGGATTTAGGAAGGTGATCCTCCAGAGTTTTGGGTGAGGGGTTTCCTCTGGGGAGGATCACGTTTTTACCAAATCAGAGGATCCGCTTTCTTGGGCAATCCTCTGANGGAAGAAATACTCCACGGGGAATACATTACAACTTCCTCCAGAGGATTTGGGAAGGTTATCCTCCAGAGTTTTGGGTGAGGGGTTTCCTCTGGGGAGGATCACGTTTTTACCAAATCAGAGGATCCGCTTTCTTGGGCAATCCTCTGAGGATTGCGGTTTGGATTCCAAAGAAAAACTCCAG